TTAAGAAACATTTGACAACTATCTGGACATTATAAAGATTGAGCATATGAAATTTCAAAATTTTCTGATGCATAAAAGTATTTTTAATCTTAAAATGAAAATTACTTTACATGATAGATAGGCAACATGCTAAAAGAAAAAAAAGACACGAGAAAAACATTGTTTCACAAACCTTAAGACTTAATAAAAATATTGATATTTTGGGTATGAATGCATTGCAATGTTTACTGATAATATGCCAAATTTCGTTAACACTCACTTAGTAATTTAAAAGTTATAGCATGAAAACCATAACAAACATAAAATGGTTATGAGGTCAGTCACTGTGAACAAACCCATGCTAAAATAGTTAACTCTCTCTACAAGGGCTTGGTCAACTTGACCGACCACGTGACCTCTTTGTACTCAATTAAAGTTTTTATAGATTTAATACTTCTTACTTTCAATATAGTGGGTATATCTTCACAAAATGTGGCAGTCTTTCAGTTCATATTATAAGTTTATCACATACAAAAAATTATATTTTTAGTGAAGTTTTTTTTAATAAAATAAAATAAAGATTTGTCCACTAATATATTGAGTATTTGTTTTTAATAGTTCATGTGCAAAGTAATTTACATGTTAAAATAAAAAGTACTTTTCCTCATCTCAAAAATTCCAAGTTTCCATTGTGTAATCCCTAAAACCTCCTAAATGTATTTCAAACATGTTTTTTAGTAAAACTTTATAGTTTATCTGTTATTTTCTCTACCCTATCTAAAAACAGAATTGGTAAATTCGACCAACCTACGTGCTTATCGCGTGTGTGCCTCATAAAACATTTTTATTTTATTATTATTTATTTTATTTAATCTAATCTTAACTAACCTAACAAGATCCCTATTTTTACATTTTAGTTACTTTTATAATAATAAATAAAGAATAAACATTAAAAACAAGAAATAAAGTAATTACCCCATAATTTTTGCTTTTTGCTGTCGACTATTAATGACACTTAACCCTACTAATTGTAATTGTGCATTAAATAATTTTTATTTAATTAAATAATGCACCAAAGAACATAGACTAATAACATGCAAAAAGCAGACAATTTCCTCTAACAATCACAACTATGCGACAAGATACTAAGGTAGTAATGAGACTATGAATGCTATGTCAGGATCTTTTTATTCTCAACGTTTTGATTACAAGTCTTCTTCAGGAGATTTCGAGTTGTAGTCAAAATGTTGAGAATAAAAAGATCCTGACATAGCATTCACAGTCTCATTGCTACCTTAGTAACCATTTGTCAACATGAATAATACTTATGCGATAAGAACCGTGACAAATTCATCCAAACAAACTGTTGTGATTCCTATGGGAATCAAAGTTGTATTACAAGTGAAATTGACTATTGTGTGTTCAGAACACAACGTAATAGAATATGTCATTTTACAGTTGAAAACCTTAGCTTTCTATTGGCTATAGGTAACATATAATAGGAGAGAACTATTAACAAGTCCTGAAAGAGAGAATGTGACAGGTGGGTGTGGTAGGAGGGGTATTTTTTTATTTGATACCTCTGTAACCAAACAAAATTGAAGGTTTTAAAAATTATGGTTTGTCTGAGCATCTGAGCAATGATGATTTTATAGTGAGTAATTACATTGCATTTCATACTTTTGGAGGAGTGATGGATAAAACAGAGAAGAAAAGTTACCTAGAAATAAATTGTCACGCGTGTCACACAGGATTTTTTAAAATATTGCCTTATAGAATTAAGAACTTAAAACTTATATACTATTAAAATATGGATTATTAGCTAAGATTTTATGCTATACTAATTGGTATAACATAAACAAAAAGTAGTTTAATTTTGAATGTAAGACACTAAAACCTTGTGTTATGCACAGTATAGGATTCCTGAAAGTTTTAATATGCGAAGCCAATTTTTTTTATCAGTGTGAAAGAATGATTAAAGGTTATTCAATTATTTGCAGAAAGTTTTTCTTTTTATGACAGAATAATTGCTATTGTTTTCTTGTTATGAAAGATTAATGACTATTTCAACAAACTTTAATCATTAAATATACTTTAATATCTTAGCTAAGACCAATGACAAACACAGTTACTATGTAATAGAGCCTGTTCATTCAAGTCACATGAACTCTGCATGTAATTTGTTCCTTAATTATCAGACTACTGTGTTTACTTTACATCATTATTGTAAGAGAGAACTCCAAGTAACCTCCACTTCAGTTCATCATTAATAATAATGTTGTGATCACAAAGCCAAGTAAAACACCAATTACTGAAGAATTTAAAAATAAAGAGGTGAATACGGAATCCTATGAAATTCCATTTTTTAAACAGAGCAGATTGTTGTGAACCTCACCAATTTTAATAAACAAAATAGTTTTTATAAAGTACCAGGAAACAGATTTCTGAAGATTCCATAAAGTAGTAAGCATAAAGCCCTTAGAAACATGTTCCTATAAAGTTCACAAGCAAAGTGGTTAGTAAGAAATTGTGAAACACATTTCTGAAGAGTCCAGGAACAAAGTGGTTAACAAAGACCAGTGAAACTTGTATGTCATAGTTCAGGAACATACAATTTAGCATGAAGTCTTGAAATATATTTATGCAAGTCCAGTAACACAGAAGTTAGCATAGAGTATTATGAAACATGTTTCTGAAGTCTAGAAATTATGTACTCAGCACAGTCCTGCAAAATATGTCCAAAGAGTAATTAGCTCAAGGTCTTGTAAAATAAGCCTATCAAGTAGAATCCACAAACACAGTGAGTAGAATAAAATCTCATGAAATTCTCAGGAGTACAGTACAAAATTTGTTAGCATGAGGCCCTGAAAGATGTTTCTGGAGAGTCCATAAAGTAGTTACCATAAGTCTTATGACTTATGTTTCTCAACAATCCTCAAATGGTAGTGTAAAGTCCCATGAAATTCTCAGGAGTACAAGACCAAATCTGTTAGTGTGAAGTCCTGAAACATGTTTCTGGAGAGTCCACATAAAGTTCTGTGAAACACATTTACAAACAAAGTGGTTAACATGAGTGATGAAATATGATTCTGAAGATTCCTCTAGGCACAAAGGGATTAGTATGAAGTCCTCTGAAACCTATTTCTAAATAGTCCAAAACAAATATGATAGTATGAAATATGTTTCTGAAGAGTCCATAACATGGTAGCATAAAATTCTGCAAATTTATCAAAAGAGTACACAGGAAAACAAACTGATTAGCACTGAAGTCCTTGAATATTTTTCTGAATAGTTCAGAATAACAGAGATTACTATGAAGTTCTGAAATATGTTTGTGAAAAGTCAAGAAACAAAGTAGTTTGGTTAAAGTTCTGAAACATGTTTCTGAAGAGTTCAGGAACAAACTGGTTAGCATGAAGTCCCACGAAACATTTCTTGGGAGTCCAAGAACAAAGTGGTTAGTATGAATTCCTGACATGTTTCTGCAGAGTAGAGGAAAAAATTGGTTAGCTTAACATTCTGTAAAACATGTTTATGAATAGTGAAGGGTAAAACCGGTTAGCATAAAGTCCTGAAATGTGTTTCTGGAGACCTCAGGAAAAAAGGGTTTGGTAAAAAATATGTTACCAACTTTTTGGTAAAGAACAAAAAGTTGCTAACATTCATGCTAATTTATTTTTCGTTTAGCACAAAACTATACAATAGACTATCTGTGCTGTGCTCAACACCAGTATGGAAACCTGGTTTTTAGCCTTATAAGCCTTCAGACTTACTGCTGAGCCACTAGGGGGCCAACCACACCAGAAGAATATAAATATATTATCTAAGTAGATAATAATTTTTATATCCATATTCATGTTAGAATAAGAAACAGTATGTTAAAGCTTACAGTTTACCAACCTTTTTATTGAAAATCTGGTACATAAAACTATCTTACTAGTCCCCTTAGTGCTACAACAGTAGAAAATCTGGTATCTAGCAGTATGGTACTATCCTTCTTGCTACAACAGTGCAAAGCCTGATATATAACAATACACTGCTAACCTTTTTAGTAACAGAAAAGAGGAATGTCTGGTATACACATACATATGTATATATATAAATAATACATTGCCAAACCTCTTGCTAGAAAATAGTAAAAAATTTGGTATATATGAGTTTATTACTAACCTTCTTCTTGCTAGAACAGTGTACACTGGTGATACACAATCAGCTGGAGCTTGAACTTCCACAAAATAGTATGGTTCCATCAGACGTGGAGTGGCCATAAGAAAAGCAGAATAAGCAACCCTACGAGCAGTGGGGATGATCTGTCCACCACCTCGATGGATGGGTTCTCCTGATATAACAGCATCTAGGATCTTAAATTTGCAGTTTCGGATAGCTAAGGTGAAACCAACATTGACTTATGTTTAAAAGTAAATAAATAAATGCTCAATTTTCATTATCATCAATATGCATCTTGCTAGGGTTACCCTACTTTCTTATCACATGATAAAAATCTTAACCTCAGCATTTATTTTGTTAGGTTCATTAGATTGCAATCATGTTAATCTCTATGTTGTTAGGATTACCCAACCTGTTTATCACATGATAAAATGCATGGTTCTCACACAAATTTTTATATTCATTTCCCTGAAAACATTTTCCATGGCAAAAAGTACCTTATAATATGATGAAATTGTCTCGCCTGTTTTGACTAGGTACAACAACCCCTGTTGAGAACCACTAAATACTGTTATAGCTTAAGTTGTACATTGAAAAATATTTGGATTTTCAGGAAGAACTTACCTTTAAAGTGACAACTGAATTATGAGAATATCTTCTGATATTTCTTATTTTATATAATTATAAGATATTTTAAATCTTGTATTTAACTTTTGTAATGTTATTTCTATGTTTGATGTTCCATGATATGGAAAAAATTATTTCTACGAGTACCAGACAAATTCCTTTTATTTCCGTGACTTTTCAGGTTTGTTGGAACCCTGAAAACCTTAACCCCAGCATTCACTTTATGTTATGAAGACATCCATCATGTCAATCTCCGTGTTTCTGAGCATTACCATACATTCCTATCACAAATTTGATAAAGTCTTAACCTCAGCATTCACTCTGTTATGTTAAGAAGCTTGCAATCATGTCAATCTCTATGATTTTGGGAGTAAACTCTATCTTTTCATCACAAGCATGAAAAAGCTTAAACCCAGCATTTACTATATTATGTTCTCATGCTCATTTTGAACTTTAAGTAATTGAGAGTAAAAGGTAAAAGCTATCATCCCATCATAAAAGTGAAAAACCTTTAAACCAAGCAATTACTATTTCAACTGTGGACTATTAACAAATTTGGGTGTTACAAGAAAAACACTTGAACAAATATTAAGACAATATAAAAAATGACTAAATGTACAGATTTCACATAAACAACTTCAAATATGACTATGAAAAAATAATAATCAGACCTAAATGCAGCACATCACATGTGAACAATAAAGATATAAAAATAAGACTCACGTTCTTCACACAATGGCCCTTCCCGGGTAGCCCATTGGAAGCCCTGGATAATACTGTCTTTCACCATGTTTAATAATCCTTTGTCAACCTGGAGTTATATAATCAATTCATAAATAATAGTGGTATTCCATCTTACACCATGTTTCATCATATTTAGTAACCTTTTCTCAACTTAACTTAAAAATGAATATTAATGAATTCATAAATAATGGTGTTACTCTGATTTACAATGTGTTATAAAAAGTTTAATAAACATTTGTGAACTAAAGAAGCAATATTATCAATTTATAAATAACAGTGTTTTTCTGTTTTACATTATGTTTACTAACTTTTTATACACTTAACATAAAAACTAGTATTATCCATCCAAACAATGTCAACCTAAGATGTTATCAATTCATAAGTAGCTTGCTCTGTTTCATTCTGTGTTGCACCATGTTAAGTTACCCTATGTCAACTATGTTTAGTAACCTTTGGTCAACTTAGGAAGTCATATTAGTAATTCATGAATAATGGCAATACTCTGATTTATACTATAAACCTGGGAAAAAAGTTAAGCACCCCCAAATATTTTTCAAGATTGCTTATTGAAAATAAGGTTTAATTTTCATGATGTTGAGCAATGTTCATAATTTCAAACATAATTAAAAGGATGTGAGCGTTCAGGTGTGACATTTAAATCAGGCGCGTTTTTTTCCCCACGTGCAACTTGCTTCCTTCTTCACGTCCAATATGCACTTTTGTCTCGTGCATCAAATCCGTATTTAAGTCCCAAATTACTAAATTCATAATCTTTGTTAATTGATTTT